GGGTAATGGCCTACCAAGACAGTGATGCGTAGCCAGTCTGAGAGGATGAATGGCCACAAGGGAACTGAGACACGGTCCCTACTCCTACGGGAGGCAGCAGTGAGGAATTTTCCACAATGGGGGCAACCCTGATGGAGCAATACTACGTGAAGGAGGAAGGTCTACGGATTGTAAACTTCTGTTAGTGCGGAAGAAGGGCTGAGCGTAAGTTCAGTTTTGACGGTACGCACAGAGAAAGCCACGACTAACTACGTGCCAGCAGTCGCGGTAAGACGTAGGTGGCGAACGTTATCCGGAATTATTGGGCGTAAAGGGTGCGTAGATGGTAGAGTAAGTTAGCAGTGGGAAATCGAGGCTCAACCTCGTGGAAGCTGGTAATACTGCTTTACTGAGAGTACAGGAGAGGTTAACGGAACTCCCTGTGGAGCGGTAAAATGCGTAGATATAGGGAAGAACACCAATAACGGCGAAGGCAGTTAACTATTCTGTTACTGACATTGAGGCACGAAAGCGTGGGGAGCAAAAAGGATTAGATACCCTTGTAGTCCACGCCCTAAACGATGAGTGCTAGATATTGGGAACTTGTTTCTCAGTGTCGCTAGGTAACCCGGTAAGCACTCCGCCTGAATAGTACGCTCGCAAGAGTGAAACTCAAAGGAATTGACGGGGACTCGCACAAGCAGTGGAGCATGTGGTTTAATCCGATACAACGCGTAGAACCTTACCAAGGCTTGACATGTCCGGCGAAGTTGTCGAAAGGCAAGGGAGGTTATCCGGACACAGGTGCTGCATGGCCGTCGTCAGTTCGTGCCGTGAGGTGTATGGTTAAGTCCTATAACGAACGCAACCCTTGGGCTTAGTTACTAACATTTAGTTGAGGACTCTAAGCCGACTGCCTGAGTAATCAGGAGGAAGGAAAGGATGACGTCTGGTCGTCATGGCCCTTATGCCTTGGGCGACACACGTGCTACAATGGCTAATACAAAGGGACGCCAACCCG